TCTTTTGCGGGTCAAGCCCGCCGTGGCCTGAGAACAGCCCTTCAACATAAGCCATTCAACACATCAACATGTTATAAGAATATGTTCATGTTTAAGAGTTTAAGTGAGTTCTTTTCGGTGGAGTGATGCCAATGCTGAAAATTAACATTTGGAACCCCAGTTGTTCACAAACAAAAGAACATGTCCGCACTGAACACGTCTGCGGAGTTGCGTAGAGCGTGAGGCTCAACCCGATGCAGCAGGTGCAAATGCTCGAGTGAAGTGCCTCCAAAGGGAATTGCCGAGGAATTAGTGCCTTCTCGACATCGTCAGGAAGACACGTTTAAGCCCATGAAAACAGTGCATCTTGTTCCTGGAGAACATAATTCCCCAAACAAACACCTTTCAACATTGTGGGTAAGACTGTGAAACGGTGGTATCCACAGTATGGCAACTTGCAATGAGCACCTGCTTCAGTCAAAAAAAAAAAAAAAAAAAAAAAAAAAAAAAAAAACGATGCTTTGTTTTCTATGCGCGGGCGGTGAAGACTTTCGGAATGGATTGCCAGAACTTCCAGTTGTATCCTTTCGGGCTAGCAACTCAACGGTTGTTTCGATTCTCGTTTAGCCTGTTTGTTACCCTCACTATGGTAAGGTGCTGGGCGGCCCACCAGTGCTTAGCTTCATAAAGCTACACGAAAAGGTCCCTAGTTTCAACCTCCCGCTCCTTGCAGCGTGGAAAGCAAACATATGTTCCTCCTCAACAAACATGCAGTTGCATGAAGCCTACGTGCTTTCCAGTATTCCTGGTACCTTGAAAGCATCCTGGACGCTCCCGGGGCTCCGGGTGGGAGGGCTTCAAACACAATTGATACTGCCTAACCACTCCTTCAGCAGTGGCAGTCAACGGTTCACCAGTTTTCTGCCATTAGCCAGAAAGTTGCCTCAGAAGGGTCAGTGTGCGTGCGTGCGCATGTGTGCGTCCATGCGAGCATGCGTGGGTGCGTGGGTGCGCGGCTGCGTGGGTGGATGGGTGGATGGGTGGGTGGGGGGGTGGGCGGGTGGGTGCGGGCGTGCGTGTGCATGTGGGTGGGGTGTGTGTGTGTGCTGCTTCAGATGGGTTGCATTTTGTAGTGCTGACACGCCGTTAGGTTCCAACCTTGTGGCACCAACGGAACGGTCTGTAGACAATGCAATGGTTGGCTGATGGCATTAAAAAATAATTTTGAGCTGTGCATGTCAAAAGGAGCACCCTCATAATGCTTGGCGCAGGTTCAACTTGCTCATTTTCTAAACAGGTTGGCTGGGAACCCTTGCTTCACACTTAGGTTGGGGCAACAGGGGCCAGGCTGGGGGTTGGGGTTGGTTGGTCCTTGCTCGGATTTGGGGCTGCGTATTGGCTCGATTTGGTGGCAGTCGGCTGGTTTCAGGTGAATGTTGGGTTTGCCGAGCTCTTACTGAGCGCAGGTCTTGAGTGTGTTTGGGCTTGCCAATCTCAAACCAACCCCAAACTCACATAAGCACACCCTAAAGCAACTCTAAAGCCACTCACTGCTAAACCAGTCGCACACCTAGCACAAATCAGCCCGCAAAAACCATACCAAAAAGGTTTTTACAAACAAATAAGGTGGAGGCAACGGGAAGCAAATAAAGGCCGGTTTATAATCCCCATTACTTACTCTCCTGCAACAGGCATGGAAGCTGACAGCAAGGTGTGGGAAGAATACTTTCATTTGGGCAAACTCCCTGTCCATGACTGTTGGAAGTTGGCATACCCAAGTAGCACCGCAGGAATGCCTGATGTTGCCAACCGTCATCAGGCCTACGAATTGCAGAAACCCATATTGGCAACTCAAGCCCAAATAGCCGGACCTCACCATGAAACACAGGCAAAAGAACTGCGAACCAGGAACATGGCCCATAGGCCAATAGGCCTCTCCCGAAATTGACCCTCAAAATTGTCGTGTCCCCTGTTCTTTCCTTTGAAATGACCCCCCTTTAGGGCTACCAACTCCAAAAAAAACGAGAGCTTTGGGCCGTTTCAGGCCTCAGAGTCCCTGATCCAGTCCAGCATCCGCACTGCGCTCTTCAGCAGGTCCCGCGCCAAGTCCTGAGACAGAAAAACCTAAAAAAGCGTCCAGGTGTTCCTCGTAGTTTTCAGCCAAACACTTGGACGCTCGAGCAAACACCTTGGAAGCCCCAAGAATATAAGCATGCTTGAAAATAAAAGTCCGGTGAAACAACTTGATCACTTCACTTATTGGCATCTTGGTAAATCTCAGGTTAACGTCCAGGTAACCCCTGGTTACCTCATTAAACCCCAATAAGCCCATTTGACGCCCCGAGTAACCGCACGTGAATCCCAGCACTGAGCACTGTCTTTCAACCAACTTCATCCACCATGGTCGGACAACATTTGTTTAAGCCAGGCCACGGGGGCCTTTGAATTGAAACCACACGGATTCGAGGTTGTTTGTTCCCCAACAGCTGAAAGCTTTGGGGTCTCAGCCCAGATAGGCTCCGGGGTGGTCCGGAGCGGCCTGAGGTAAGGTTCCACGAGGGTTCCACCAGGGTTCCACGAGGTTCTGCGAGGGCCGCGGGGTGGTGCGAGCACTACAAAGAGCACTGTATGCTGTTGGGGATATCGCCTGAGCTTATTTATACAGCTGTGGCTGAGCAATCACGGATAACAACATGATCGCGCTTCGCAATGGAGCAAATAACATGCAACCACCACTAATTAGCCTACTATATGTTTGATGGCCTGCGTGAAATGTCCAGCCTGCTATGGCTGCCAAGCCATCTCAATATGTTGTGAACAATATCCCGTTGGCGAATGGCGGGCAAGGAGGACACACACCAAACCAATGATGCAACATCGTCCTTCAAGGGTGTTCATCGTTTATGGGGGAGGGCGCTTCAAATAGATTATTTTAGGTACGATGTGGAAGGAAAGCCGGCATGAAACCAAAAATGTCATGTGCAATGAGACGCCGAAACCCTGGCAAAACAAAATAAGGAACTCAACAACACGTACGGAATGGCCAGGGTTTCGGCTGTGTCTGGCTGGAAGAGCCGCACCCCGCCGAGCTGCGAGGAACGGCTCGTGGTCCGTCAGCCACTCCTTGACCGCCTGGACCGAGAAAAAACGACAAACTCAAAGGGCCGGGAAACCCAAGTCCAGGGGGGGGCGTGTTTAGTTTTTTCTCTGGACTTGTCCCCACCCCAAATGAGTAGTTGACTATGTGTCTTGTTGTGTCTGAAGGTTGTGACGTGTTTGCCTCGGACGGTTCTCTCACCCGAAAAATCATCCCAACAGAATGCTGACTCGGGGCACATCTCAGGATGGTTTGTGGCCTGATACCTCCCCTCATGAACTCACCCCAACAAAAAAATTCTCTGAAACTTGGCGACCAAAAGGATGCCCAAATAGTAAGAGTCCGCACCTTTGGATCCTCTTGCTTACGAGAAACCAAAGGACAACTGGTCCCCCTTGGAGTTCCTCCAACCCTTTTTGATTACTATTCAAACTTGGAAAGAAAACCAAAGCCGTTAACCAATCGCTCTGCCTTCTCACGTTTCTTCAACAGGACTCCCCATCTGTCCCTGCGACCAAAAAGGAAAATAACAAGTTGGTCCAAAACGGGATGTTTCAAACCACCACATGTGAATATACATACATACAATACATTACATTACGTTACGATACGTTGCGTTACGTTACGTTGCGTTACATACACACATACATACATACATACATACATAAATAACATAACATAGCAGAGCAGAGCAGAGCAGAGCATAGCATAGCATAGCATAGCATAACAGAACATACATACATACATACGTACGTACATACATAACATACATACATACATACATTACATTACATTACATTACATTACATTACATTACATCACATCACATTACATTACATACATACATACATTACACTACATTACATTACAATACAATACATTACATTACATACATACATAACATAACATAACATAACATAACATAACACACGTACATACATACACACATACATACATACATACATACATACATACATTACATTACATTATATTACATTACATTACATTACATACATACATTACATTAATACATACAATACATACATACATACATACATACATACATACATACATACATACATACATACATACATACATACATACATACATACATACATACATAAATACATTACATACATACATACATACATACATACATACATACATACATACATACATACATACATACCAAACATACATACATACATACATACATACATACATACATACATACATACATACATACATACATACATACATACATACATACATACATACATACATACATACATACATACATACATACATACATACATAACATTACATTACATTACATTACATTACATTACATTACATACATACATACATACATACATACATACATACATACATTACATACATACATACATACATACATACATACATACATACATACATACATACATACATACATACATACATACATACATACATACATTACATACATACATACATACATACATACATTACATACATACACACATACATACATACAAACATTCCATACATACATACATACATACATACATACATACATACATACATGCATTAGATACATACATACAGACATACATACATACATTACATACATACATACATACATACATACATACAGTACATTACATTACATTACATTCATTACATTACATTACATTACATTACATACATACATACATACATACATACATACAACATACATACATACATACATACATTACATACATATATACAATACATTAATACACACATACATTACATTAATACACACATACAAACATACAAACATACACACATACATACATACACACATACATACATACATACAGTACATACATACATAAGTACATTACATACATAAATACATTACATACATACATACATACATACATACATACGTACATACATACATACATACATACATACATACATACATACATACATACATACATACATTACATTACATTACATTACATTATATTACATTACATTACATTACATACATACATTACATACATACAATACATACATACATTACATACATACATACATACAAACATTACATACATACAAACATACATAGATACATACATACATACATGCACACATACATACATACATTACATTACATACATACATTACATACATACATACATTACATTACATTACATTATATTATATTTGATTACAGTACATTACATTATACTACATACATACATACATACATACATACCTTACATTACATTACATTACATTGCATCACATTACAGTACATACATACATACATACATACATACATTACATACATACCTACATACATACATACATTACATACATACATACATACATACATACATACATACATACATTACATACATACATACATACATACATTACATACATACACACATACATACATTACATACATACATATCACATACATACATACATACATACATACATACATACATACAGACACATACACATACATACATACATACATACATACATACATACATACATACATACATACATACATTACATACATACATACATACATACATACATACATACATACATACATTACATACATACCATTACATTTCATTTCCTTACATTACACTACATTACATTACAGTACATACATACATACATACATACATTACATCCATACATTACATTACATTACGGTACATTGCATTACAGTACAGTACATTACACTACATTATGTGACCATTATGTTACATTACATTACATTACATTACATTACATTACATTATATTACATACATACATACATACATACATACATACATTACATACATACATACATACATTACATACATGCATTACATTACATTACATTACATTACATTACATTACATTACATTACATTACATTACATTACATACATGCACAAATACATACACTACATACATAAATACATACATACATTACATACATACATACATACATACATTACATACATACATATCACATACATACACACATACATACATACATACATACATACATAAATACAAAACATAACAAAACACAACATAACATAGCATAGCATAACGTAACATACATACATACATGAATGCTTACATACATACATACATACATACATACATACATACATACATACATACATTACATACATACATTACATACATACATACATACATTACATACATACATTACATACATACATACATACATACATACATACATACATACATACATACATACATACATACATACATACATACATACATACATACATACATACATACATACATTACAATACATACATACATACATACATACATACATACATACATACATACATACATTACATACATAACATACATACATACATACATACATACATACATACATACATACATACATACATACATACATACATACATACATACATACATACATACATACATTACATACATACCATACATACATACATACATACATACATACATACATACATACATACATACATACATACATACATACATTACATTCATACATACATACATACATTACATACATACATACATACATACATACATACATACATACATACATACATACATACATTACATTACATTACATTACATTACATTACATTACATTACATTACATGACATTACATTACATTACATTACATTACATAACATACATTACATTACATTACATTACATTACATTACATTACATTACATTACATTACATTACATTACATTACATTACATTACATTACATTACATTACATTAACATACATACATACATACATACATACATACATACATACATACATACATACATACATTACATACATACATACATACATACATACATACATACATACATTACATACATACATACATACATACATACATACATACATACATACATACATACATACATACATACATTACATAACAACATACATACATACATACATACATACATACATACATACATACATACATACATACATACATACATACATACATACATACATACATACATACATTACATTAATACATACATACATACATACATACATACATACATACATACATTACATACATACATACATGCATACATACATTACATACATACATACATACATACATACAAACATACATTACATTACATACATACATACATACATACATACATACATACATACATACATACATACATACATACATACATACATACATTACATACATACATACATACATACATACATACATACATACATACATACATTATACATACATACATACATACATACATACATACATACATACATACATACATACATACATACATACATACATACATACATACATTACATACATACATACATACATACATACCATACATTACATTACATTACATTACATTACATTACATTACATTACATTACATTACATTACATTACATTACATACATACACACATACATACATACCATTACATACATACATACATACATACATACATACATACATACATACATACATACATACATACATACATACATACATACATTACATACATACATACATACATACATACAAACATAACATAACATAACATAACATAACATAACATAACATAACATAACATAACATAACATAACATAACATAACATAACATAACATAACATAACATAACATAACATAACATAACATAACATAACATAACATAACATAACATAACATAACATTACATACATACATACATACATACATACATACATACATACATACATACATACATACATACATACATACATACATACATACATACATACATACATACATACATACATTACATACAACATACATACATTACATACATACATACATACATACATACATACATACATACATACATACATACATACATACATACATACATACATACATTACTTACATTACTTACATTACATACATACATACATACATACATACATACATCACATACATACATACATACATACATACATACATACATACATACATACATACATACATACATACATACAACCATACATACATACATACATACATACATACATACATTACATACATACATACATACATACATACATACATACATACATACATACATACATACATACATTACATACATAAATACATACATACATACATACATACATACATTACATTACATTACATTACATTACATTACATTACATTACATTACATTACATTACATTACATTACATACATACATACATACATTACATACATTACATACATACATACATACATACATACATACATACATACATACATACAAACATTACATACATACATACATACATACATACATACATTACATACATACATACATACATACATACATACATTACATACAAACATACATACATACATTACATACATACATTACATACATACATATATACATACACACATACATTACATACATACATACCATACCATGCCATTACATTACACTACATTACATTGCATTGCATTGCATTACATTGCGTTACAATACATTACCTACATACATTACACACATACATAATATATTAAATTACATGCATGCATACATAACTATGTATATGTATGGCATATGTATATATAGGGGGAGCCCCTGTTGAACCCTGCGGCCAGGCCGGCCCTTGCCTTCATGAAGAGGCTGCGCCAAATGGGCAGCTGCCGCATGGCGGAACTATCCAGAAGGCTGACCAAGTAGCTGCCCCGGTTCCCCCGCGCGCACTTGCCGCAGTAGTTCCCCGGCGCCGGGCCGTCGGTCTCATCCACCCTGCGGGTCTGTGCCTGGGAAGGCACTGGAATCCCAGCCCAAATGTGTCCAAGCGGTTCATGAGGTTCGTAAAACAACAACAATCACAGGCCTGCCCCTCAACAAATTTCCAATGAACTTAACATGAATAACCTCTTGGGTTTGTTCGCTTCAAATCAGCAAACAACCCCACACGGCTGCCCTGTCCGTGTCGCAAATACATCCTGTGAGTTGCCAAGTTGTGTAGTAGTGTTCAATGGCCTTCGCTAAGCCACCACAGACCGACTTTCAATCTTGTCATGCCAGACGGTGAAATGCGCCTCGTCAGGATTGAAACACGGGCATATCATAGATGAGTATGATGATTTATTTTTTTGCAAGCAATGCGCCTGAACCAGCTTCACGTTTTGTGCCTGGAGACATATCAAGCAATGCCACCTCAGCCTGTGCCGCATGTGCCACGAAGATCCTGGAAACCAAGGCGGCGCCAAACATGTGTTCCCTTCGGTCAAAGAAAACACATATTGCTACATAATTGTGTGTCCTCCGTGTGGATGCAAAACAATCAAGAACCATCAAACACATTCAAAGCAACAGGTGTGCAGTTAAAAACACTTTGAACATGCGCCATCAGGCTGTGCAGCGCATGCAATTCCAAACAAAACATGTGTGAAACTGAGACTGAACTGCCAGCCAAACCTGACGTGGCAACACACACCTTTGTGATCAGCCTCAAACTCATGCATTCAAGGATTAGCTCACCCTGAAATACGTGCAAATCCATGGCAAACAAACAATTGGCGAATGGGCGCTTCACTGTGATCCTCTACGTGCACCATTCAAGAACATGGTTTGCCGTTGCAAATAAAAATTGCCACAGTCCTGCAACTCTTTGGGAACCGACGACGGAAAAACGAAACACAATATGAAAAATGATGGCATGAAGGAGGGCTGTCATGTCGAAATTCAAACACATATTATTTGGACCTTTGCCCTAAATACACCCTGGGATCGATCCCCGAAGAAAGAGGCCTCCCAGCAGCTAGCAACTCGCATCGGTAAGCCGAGCCACGCATTTGGTGCAGTGATATCTTTGACGGCCCAGGTGGTGGCCGGTGCTCAAATGCAGGCCTGGCTGAGCGGTCACGCTCGCCAGCAACCAATTCTTTGTTCGTTGAACAAAAATTGCGCTGTCTGCCAAGAAACCAACACCACATTGATGGCAAAACAATCGGCTCATGATACGCATCAAACCCCGACTGATTTACCGAGTTGGGACACACTATGTTCGAGTTTGCCGTGTTTAATCATTTTTGACCACACTGGGTGCTCTGGATACAAAGGGAATCTAAACAACAAATGGCGTTTGTGAATATTGCCAAAACGATCCACATGACAAATCCATGCTAAACCAAACATGCAATACACGCGCTGGACATTTTTGAGCTCATGATGCCATCGGGATTTACGGATAAACACAGGGCTTACAATCCAACTAAACTCAATGACATGGCGCTGGTGCAGGATTGAGCAAACAACAAAACCAGGAACGATCTGTTCAAACCACCTGTCCGAACATGTTTGCATGAAAATGCAATTCTCTGCAGCAACTGCAAAACACGTCTGATGTTCAGCATTCTTTGCGCCAAACAAAACAAACAAATGTGACCAGTCACTGTTTTTGGCCCGCCCTGCCCCCCCACCCCCCCCGCGAGCCCGCACAAACGCAATGGTTGTGCACATGCAGTTTCTGCAATTCAACACGCAAATGCCGTAAGTCTTTTCCAACAAATAATCCGTGAACTCAAATGGAATTGCACGATCAAAAACCACATGCTTGCAATTTCAAAAAAAAACAAAACATATCGAGTTTCGCCCAGCCTAGGCTGCAGAATCGACCATTTTTCGCCATGTCCTGCTGAAATGAATGCAGTCGCAAAGTGCCGCAAAACATGGTGCGTCCATCAGGGGAGGAATGTCGATTTGTGTCACGAGGATGTTGCAAAGCCTGCACCTGCCCCTAACTTAACATCCAAAAACAACATAAATAAACCAGGCTCTGCCGACTGGAGTGCTTTCTTCTGCTTACACATGCTTGCACCGCAACATGGCAGCATTGCCGCCACTGCCACTCCGAACTGGGCGCACCACTCGCCACGAATGGTGCGGTGGTTCAGGCGGTCGAGCAAAGATGTATGAACAACAACCGCAAGCCGACTTTGAAAGGTGTGGGGATGTGTGGGGGAGGGAATGAAAGGCTGGTCTGGAAGCAAGCATGCAAAATTCATTTTTCTTTTGGGGGTTGAAATTCGACGAAAATGTCTTGAAGGCACCCAGCAAACCTCTTCGGCCCCCCAGTCTCCTGCCCTCTGCTGCGCTGGCCGTAGCAGCACCAGCCCTCGTCCAAGCGGATGGAACCTCTCAGGAACTCAAACAGCTTTCCGGATGAATTCAGGTCTAACTCACGAGGCCCCCCTTTGACCCTGCTTTCTTTTGTTACAAAGGGTCCCCCAAGACAGCCCAAACACATGTCATGTGGGCAAAGGGTTGCCACGGCAGCGCTACACATCACTGAAACAGGTCCCGAACCTGATGCTTGGCAACCCGACACTCTACTTGGTCATCTTTGCACGGACTCAAGACACCGCCTTTCTTGCAACTTGGATAATCAAACCCACTAAGTAAGCACGATTGGATTGACAGGGGTTACCAGTGTTTAACCTCATACCCATACACATGGTAATGACCCACTTCCCCAAGTCTGCTGAACATCCACCAAAGCGCTCATAGCTCCCCTGTTCGCCCATTCCATGCAGGGTGCTTTTTCGTTGCAGTAATCATTGCGTTGCGCGAGCGGTACCAGTGGCATCCCCACAGGGAGGATACCAACAGCATTTAACTGGCTTTGAGGTACCGTCATACCACTTGGAAGCGTGTAACTCAGAAGCTTAGGCCAGCACCTCTGCCCCAGCACTCGAGCCTGAGTGGAGCGACCGAGTCTTCGCTGAAACGGAACATTTTGTTTAGCACAAGCTTGCGTTTCTCTTCTGGGTGGGACACACGCACAGTGGAAAGACTTGGGGAGGCTGACTGGACGGGTATGCACCCAGGATATCAATAGGCAACATTCCGTGAGATGCGGGTTGCAGGCTGCAACATCGAAAAGGCAACATTCCAGTCAGGCTCCATGCTGAGGGTCTCTTTAGCAAACCACGACATACCTGCATGGATCCTAGCGTTGGTGCCCAAAGTCTGTATATTTGCCCGTCCTTCTTCCAACAGCACTAGAACATCCAAGCGATGCTGGCCAAAGCGTGGCGCCGCTCATGAAAAGAGGCAAAGGGCTGCAGGCCGTGGTTGAAACGCTCACTTCCTAAGTTGCCTGTCCTTTATGTTTTTTGGAAAGCCATGCCTGCGGCAAACAACAAGCTCATACTGTTCTTGGCCAATCCACGCGGGAAGTGCGTATGGGTACGTCTCCAACACCCCCACATTTGGTTTCCCTTTCACGCCAACCCCAAAAGAAGGCCTAAGAACGACGCCAGAATGATGAGCATGAACCTGCATGGAAGTAAGGGATCCGCGCATCCATGGTCATTCCCCCGCCACTTGGCAAAATGGGGAGTTTTTCGCTCTTCCCTGCCACCAGGCTGGCATTCAAGCCAAAGGGGCGTTAGGCCGCAGTGGCACTTCTTCTGCTTCCCATGCCATGCAATCCACGGCTGGCTCTGCAACGTCTCCAGCAGCGACTCGAAACTCTGAACCTCGGAGCTATCGGCCGAGAGGCACAGGGCAGCCAGCGAGTTGCAAGTTTCAGTGCCACATCTGACACTTTGGGGTGACGGTACGTAATTCGTGTGGATTCCCTGTAACAAGTGTTCTTGCCTTCTTCGCAGTTGGTTGGGGCCCCAACAGGATTGCCATCGCCCCCCGCAGCGATTGCGTAGGGATTATTTTACCATGGATGCTTCCTGCTCATTTCCTTCTCATTCCTGATGCTGCCTGCCACCTGCATGAAGGACCAGTTGCATTGAAGCGTGCCAGGCCTTAGCCCAGACTTCCGAGCAAGGGAAACGAAGGGAAAGCTGACGGACAAACAAACAAACAAACAAGCCCAGGTGGCATCCCCAGCAAGCCCCGGAACCTCTCCGGCGGCCCGCACCTGCTCCGAACCACTCCGGAGCCTATCCACAAACCCCGTAACTTTCAACAATTTGGAAATAAACAAAACATGAAAAACAAAAGGCACACAAAGACATACGAACGTACAAACATGCAAAATTACAAAAAAGCAAGCAAGCAAGCAAGCAAGCAAGCAAGCAAGCAAGCAAGCAAGCAAGCAAGCAAGCAAGCAAGCAAGCAAGCAAGCAAGCAAGCAAGCAAGCAGCCAGCCAGCCAGCCAGCCAGCCAGCCAGCCAGCCAGCCAGCCAGCAAGCAAGCAAGCAAGCAGCAAGCAAGCAAGCAAGCAAGCAAGCAAGCAAGCAAGCAAGCAAGCAAGCAAGCAAGCAAGCAAGCAAGCAAGCAAGCAAGCAAGCAAGCAAGCAAGGCCAAGGCAAGGCAAGGCAAGGCAAGGCAAAGCAAAGCAAAGCAAAGCACGAACATACGCACGCACCCGCCAGTAAGCAAGCAAACAAGCACGCAAAAGGGAGAACAAAGCCTACCAGACGAGACGAGACCGAACAAGCCAAGACCAGAGCAAGCAGACAGACAGACAAAAAGATAAATCTGAAAGAAAATGCATAAAGACCAACAAGCAAGCCATTTTGTTTTAAAAAAACGTTGCATTAATGCGCAAACTAAGTTCAGAAATAGATAAGCAACACAATAAACAATAAGCAACAATATTAACTAGACCCCGGTTGGCCCGAAAGCATAACATCGCAAGCGAGGCCGGCCCAACGCTGCAGGATGCGTTCTTTTTCCCTCCACGAAGCATTTGTGAAGCAAGCGCGGGACAGCACCAGGCAAGGTGCTCTGCGCAAACTGGTCGGTGCAAGTTGGTCTGCGCAAGTTGCTCTACGCAAGTTGCACTGTGCAAGTTGCTCTGCGCAAGTTGCTCCGCGCAAGTTGCTCCGGCAAGTTGGTCCCTGCAAGAGGCTCCCTGCAAGTTGCTCTGTGCAAATTGCGCTCCCTGCAAGTTGCTCTGTGCAAGCTGCTCTGTGCAAGTTGCTCTGTGCAAGTTGCTCTGCGTAAGTTGCTCTGCGCGAGTTGCTCTAGGCAAGGCGCTCTGCGCAAACTGGTCGGCGCAAGTTGGTCTGCACAAGTTGCTCTGTGCAAGTTGCTCTGCGCAAGTTGCTTTAAAATGCAAGTTGCATCTTGCGACGCCCGCCCGCGGACCAGGGAAGAATCGAACCCGCGACCCGCCGGCCCGGGAGCAGGCGCGCGAACCACGAGACAACTCCCGCCGATTCCCGCAGAGGGTTGCGCGGGCACCGCAGAAATCGCAAAAAACCATGGGTTTTTGCACCTCGACCACGCCGATCCCCGCAGAGGGTTGCGCGAGCACCGCAGAAATCGCAAAAAACCATGGGTTTTTGCACCTCGACCACGCCGATCCCCGCAGAGAGCGCAGAAATCGCAAAAAACCATGGGTTTTTGCACCTCGACCACGCCGATCCCCGCAGGGTCGCGCGAGCAGGTTAGAAATCGCAAAAAACCATGGGTTTTTGCACCTCGACCACGCCGATCCTCGCAGATGGTCGCGCGAGCAGCGCAGAAATCGCAAAAAACCATGGGTTTTTGCACCTCGACCACGCCGATCCCCGCAGAGGGTCGCGCGAGCAGGTTAAACATCGCAAAAAACCATGGGTTTTTGCACCTCGACCACGCCGATCCCCGCAGAGGGTCGGTTTTCGTGTAGTGTCGTCGGCACTACCCCGCCGCCCTAAGAAGAGATTTTAACTCCTCGCAAGTCAATTGCACTTGGCTCCTTGCACTTGCAACTTGCACTTGACTCCTTGCACTTGCAACTTGCACTTGACTCCATGCACTTGCAACTTGCACTTGACTCCTTGCACTTGCAACTTGCACTTGGCTGCTTGCACTTGCAACTTGCACTTGACTCCATGCGCTTGGCTCCTTGCAGCTCGCAATGACTCTCTGACTCCTTGCAATGACTCCTTGCAATGACCTTGCAATGACCCTGCAACGACCCTTGCAATGCACTCTTGCAATGACTCCTTGCAATGACCTTGCAATGACTCCTTGCAATGACTTTGCAATGACTCCTTGCAATGACTCCTTGCAATGACTCCTTGCAATGACTCCTTGCAATGACTTTGCAATGACTCCTTGCAATGACTCCTTGCAATGACTCCTTGCCTGTGACTGCACCTTGCAATGACTCCTTGCAATGACTCCTTGCAATGACTCCTTGCAATGAATGATGCAATGGCTCCTTGCATTGACTTTCATGATGATGATTCCTTGCAATGACTCCTTGCATTGACTTTCATGATGATGATTCCTTGCAATGACACCTTGTAATGACTCTCATGAGAACAACTCAAGTGAACCCAGCGGAAGAACCCTTCGCCATGCTTTCGGGAACAAAATGAACAAACCATTACGGAAATTGAATAGATAAACAAATGAAATAAGACACAGTTAAATAACAATAAATATGCATTTATATATGTAATTTAAATTAAAAACTAACCAACTAACCAACCAACCAATCAAAGAAACTCACTAAATTAGCTAACTAACCAACTAAACTAAAACAACATCCACAATGAATGAATGAATGAATGAATGAATGAATGAATGAATGAATGAATGAATGAATGAATGAATGAATGAATGAATGAATGAATGAATGAATGAATGAATGAATGAATGAATGAATGAATGAATGAATGAATGAATGAATAAACACAATCATACATTAAAGAGTTTTCGAGTAACAACGAACAGTTCCTCGAACCTTTCTGGCGGGGAGGCGGGGGCAAAGGCCGTTCCCCTGTCCAGTAACAGTGGGAGAACCCCAACCCACTTAGAGGGTGCCACCAAAACACAAGGATCTAAGACTCCGACGGGCACCCCATCTTTGTGGAGATGCTTTGCGAACTCCTTGAATGCCTCGGAATGGACGAGTGAGGTGCGCTCCCAACCTGGAACCCGAGGGGATAACTTCTCCGAGTTGGAACGCAATGCAAGTCCTCCTGATTTGGGACCGTCTCCCGCTGAAGTCACCCCGTTTCATACTAAATCTAAAGGGGTCGATTACCACCATCCAAAGAACCAAAGTCAGGTTTTGACTGTCGGATCCCATGCCCCCCTCCCCCACCCCGTCCCCCAACAGCCGAGATGCTGAGACCCCCTCAATCCAACCTCCCCGGTCCTTGACCAGGCGCTTCAGCCACACGGCCATACCCTGGCCACAGCCCCCCATCGACCGAGGCCTTATGTCCAAATCGGGGGGATTGGGACCCCATTTTGGGGTGTTGGTTTCTGGTTGCAGTCTGTAAAGGGAACCTCAAAGAAGTGGGATGGTGGGGAATGTGCGGCTTGGGCCTGGGGTTGGGTTGGCGTAGGTTTCAATAAGCTTATAGTATATTCACCGTTTGAGATTGTGGGGTTGCCCTATTGCACCACTCGTTCAAGTGGCCTCCGGGTGCTACTGCAAAAGGAGAGTACGCCAGTTTGTCTCCGGTAGGTTGAAGGTAGGTTTCAGATTGACGTCGGGAAAATAGGCTTGCTCTCCTGCGGGAAAAGCATCGTCCCTGGAGGGCCTCCCTTTCAGTATGGGTTTAGGTTTCGGCGCGATTCAGGACAGGTTTAGGGTCGGGCTGCTTTCGGCATGTAGGGTTGTCTGCTAACTTCTTGTTTCAAAGTCACGCCCTAAGTGGCCGGCAAGTACCCCTGGAAGTCAGTGCACCAACGGGCGGAGCAGTGACATCAAGATCGATCGCGACCGTGATGGTATGTAGAACATGCTCATCGAAAGAAAGCAATGGCAAGCTGTCAGCAAACAGAAGAGATCGTAGAGGGAAAAAAGCGGTGCATACAATGGCATGAACTCAGGGCGTGTGCTACTGCGTCGCCCGTTGCTGCACCTGCAATCTACATCGGCATCTGGTTGGTTGACTAGCTTCGTTTGCGGAAGCCGCATTACCAATCACCAAGCACATGGTGACTATGCTGGGCCAAACCCGGTACGTAGTACTTGGTTTCCAACGACCGGCCCGTGATCAATGCTTAATGCATCCCAAAAAAGCACAGTCCATGCTTTCTGGTTCCTACATTCGGCCTGCCTTTTATGTTTGGGTTTGTCTCCAACAAATAAACCCCAAAAGTGGTTGGTGTCCTTTTGGTGTCTCATTAAACCAACCCAACAAGGGTGCCCGCAAACCAGACACACACATATGGTGTCGCGCAACATCTGCGCCTTGGAGTTCCCGAGGAAGGCCACCATCTCAAAGCCTGACGCGCTGACACGCTGCTTGGGGCCAACAGGTCAGCAAGGAATGAGGAGGTGCGACATTCCGACTACGAATGCAAAGGGAGGTTATGCTTCTTACTTCTTGAAATGCCCCAAGGCACAGCGCCAGTCCACTGATGGCGGCCTTGATCCCTGAAATTGCTCAGTGTCTTTTCCCGCTGCTCCACCCACGCCTGTCTGGTTCAAGGGCACAACCCTGGGGTGCGCCAAAAGGCGGTTCGCCCAGTTTCTGTCCCGCAAGAGCATGATCATCGCCTCCGGGGCTTGCAGCCTACCAAATCAAAAGGCGTTGGACACGTTGAATCCCAAGCGGAAGGGGCGGCAAAACGTGCCATGACTTTGAATGGTGAGATGGTGAAAATTGGAAACGGCTCCACCCAGGAGTTTGCTGTTCTTGGCGGCTTGCTTACTGGCAAATATCACCTTCACATGAAACCACGGAGAGCACTGTAGTGAAGCAAGCGGATGTACGGGGGCCACTCTTGAAAAGGGGCTTCCGGCCCAACAGGGGGCCAACACCAAGTTGAAGAAATACCCGGCCCCCGCACAGACCACTAGTAGACCTGCGGAATGCTCGTGACTCGCTGAATATGTGGGATGCCTGCTGGCAAGGGGGCATTGTGACTGGAAACAGCACTGTGATTTCTTCAGATTGGTGAGCCCTGGCCAATGCCGAAGTGCGAGCCTGTGATTCAGATTTCCATAAATGGAGATCCTAATGCAAAAGCATGATAAATGATAGTCTTACTCGCCCATTTGGCCATGAGAAAGGACAATCGACTTGACTCAAACCATGCCGACCCCATGTAAGTAGCAAAAGGGATAGCATCACCCCAATGGGATAATTATGCAACCCCCAACTGTAAATGCCCGTTTGGTGCAAAACAACATAAGTAGCTTTCGACTACGGGGAAGTCCCGCATGCCGTCAACAGACGGACTGCTCCCAGATATGCGTCTCCTCCCCTTATGTTCCTTACCTTTTTGTCTTTGCTTTTCGAATGTGGAGTTGCTCGGAATCAGCTTGTTCAACAAAACAAGACTGCAATCTCCACAGCAAATGAAAACAAGTTCTTCGATCCCCGTGAAGAGCAGGAGCTCTGCGTCCCGGAGGGGGAGTTCCGAATCCCCCAAAACGGTGGGCGCAACGGGGTGCACAACGATCGGCGCCCTGGGGGACGGCGCTAGGTGCGGCGGCTGGGGGCGGAGCAACATTGTCACACTTTCTGCGTCATTCGTCGAGACTGGGTATGGCTCAAAATTCAATCACCAGGGGTGGTTAAGGTTTTGGTCCATGTTTCCACTTACTAGGGTTCCATTTGGGGTACCTATTTTTGACCCACCACTGCCATATTGTTACGTAGTGCTACGTCGTGACACTTGCACTTACAGCTGTATTGCAAGGCATGACTACAACACCTGAAAGCGAACGGAACAAAAGGCCGGGATGAGAATGAGGCCATAGCCAAGTTGTACATATTGCACAGGGCAGCGGCCAAAAAGCGATATACCGCCTAATATTGCGCCAAAAGTCGTCACCAGAAAACCGTATTCAGATTTGGGACTCTTCCGCGACGCTGTTTGGTCAATTAGCCATTGAAACGCCAGCTTTTTGGTGCAAGCAAACAAGAAATGGCATCAACTATTGCAAGAATAGCACATTTTAGGCCAATCGGGTCTCCCCCTGTTGCTGTCCAACCGGTTCCACCCACTTTGAATGCATGCCCGCTGTACCAGTAGTGGGTGTGGGAAAAGAAGGGCGTACATTAGTTGGTCCGTGGGTTACCTGAGTAGGAAGCTCCCGTCTATAGAGCTATACCTTGAGAATTGTTGGCCCTGTGTCGATGCCTTGCATCCGTCTCGCATTCAAGGACCGTTGTCTAGGCTCCATATCTGCGAGTTGTGCTGATCACTTCGCATTAGTGGAGCCGCCCTGATGGGACATCGTGACCTTCAGATAGATCATTGACGCTATGTGGTCAGACTATGCCAAAGCGACAACCACAAGGTATGGCAATTGCCCATACGCAAGTGATTTGCCCTTCCCCCCTTCTTCAAGCACCAAGCTGCCAGCAGCAGCAATGGCAAGGTAAACCTCGGAGAAATCAAAAGCCCGATCTGAGCCCCCCGTTGAACACGGCGACCTTCCTATTGGGGGGGTTAAAGTCACTGATACACACATATATATATATATATAACATTGGGTTGAGATCAAGCAAACTCAGAATCTTGTGGATTGTTGTCCCGGTGCATGTTTTTGCGGGGCCTGTGACAGGCGAGAGGAGCCCCAACGCTTGTGCTTCCAGGGAAAATAGAGCGGCATTGGACCCTATAGAACGCTCGTTCAAAAGGCGCCAATCTCACCTGACTCCCCTACATTGGGTCATCTCTAAGGAAGCGTCCAAAAACACCCCGACAAACCAAATGGAGCAGCCGATCATTCCCCAGCCGTCAGAATTCTACTCCACTCAGTCCCACAGAAATTGCCTCCTTGGCACAGCTCGCATGCCGGACCTTCAGTCCAAGCGGCACCATGTCGGCAGCCCAGGCAACGCAAATCCAGAAGAACAGCAAGGCCGCTGCAGACAAAGGCCAGTAATACCTCCGCAACAACATGCAATGTCAATGTGAGGTGCCAGCGTGCAAAATGCAGGATCCATTCCGTTCAGTTGCCGGCTTTTTGGGCTTCCAAGTTGCATATCCAACGTTGAGCGTAACAATGCGTTGGGATGCGTTGGGTGTCCACAAAACAACTTAAATGAGTCCATTGTTGCCTGCGAATGAGTGATTGTGCTCGACAGCCAGCTCCTCGTACAAACAGCACCACCAAACGCACCTAGACAAAATGGCTTGAGCAGTAGTTAGATCCATCATTGGGGAATGTAACAGCAGAGCGCAAGTAGCCACGCCACCACCCCACCCCCGTCTGCATCCCCATGCGGGCAAGCACGCAGAAACTAGACAATTCAAGTACTGATTGGCCAGTCGGTGACGTGCTTCCCGCATGGCTAAAGTTTGCTCCGTCCCCTTGAGCCTTCCAAACTCGGCGGATGCCCGTTCGCTTACCAGGGCACCACCCCGCAATGAGCAGCAGGATGTTCAAATACGGCCACAAGAAGACCTGGTTGAAGACCTCCGTCATCTCCATGATCTCTTCCATAAAGTGTTTGATGGAGGCCTTGAAGCAAAAGTTTGCTGTCTGCGCTGTTCAAAGTGGAGGCATTTCTGGAACATGGGACCCTAAGGGCATAGGAAGGGTCTGGCCATATCAAAAATGCATTGCATTGTGGAGAAATGATGTTCCTTCGCTGCGACTGGCGCCGCGAGTGAAAGTAACAAGTCAGATAACCCAACCTTTAGTATGTGGCTTCCCAAATTTGAGGAATCCCCTCTTAAAGCTGGTGGTTGCTTTCAAGCTTGCAGAGTTTGCTGGGCCCAGCCACCAAAGAGCAATGGGTGCACAAGTTGGCACGTTGGCGCACTGGTCAAAACTAGGAAACCAAAAGGTTGAGGCTGGGTTGAAACCTGCAGCCTCTTGACTTTTACGAGGAAGCAAGCTTTGTGCCGATGAGGCTGCGTTGATTTAATGATTGCTGCGCATGCTGGCAAAGAAGGCGAAAGAAGTTGTGCAGCAACTCCCTTACGATACCAGCGATCATAGAAGTGGACAGATCTGAGCATGATGGCAGTGCTTCAGCCCAAATCCCATTTCATAGTGGTTTAATTTTAAGAATCAACCAAACTGCTAAACACCCCCCGCAACAAACACAACGGCCGCCAAAAGCAACACTTCACCAAATTGCTGATCCCAAGTGGCTGGTGACAAGAACGTCTCAGCCTCCGCGAAAGTCCTCAGACATGCGCGGTTTTGTCCGCTTGGCGGTGGTTATCATTTGTGTCGTGATGGAAACTCCTCGTGACGCGGTGTATTGCTACACGCGGTGGCAATACTGATAGGCTGGGTGGGCAACACTTGCAGGCAACTTGAACTCGCGCGTCCCATCCTTGAGTTGGCGAATCCTGCCACACTTGACCGGGGACCAGACAAATGACTGCTTTGCACGAGCCAAGCCATGCATTCCCGGGTTGGCACAGCGAACGTCTCCCCATCTGACACTTCGAAGCACCTGCAAACTTCCCTCCAATTCAAACTCAAGCAAGCAAAGCAACGTGAGGGCTACATGGTTCTTGTCAAAGCTGCTCCCACCTGGCACCAGCCAAAAGAAAGCCTTGTGAACGTACCAAACAGCAACAGATGTGACCTTGTTTGCATTGGCTTCGAACTGCCCATGGACACCACAAACGTTGACCTCTCCATCTTTATGCATCCGAGCAGTAGGCATCGGATGTTGCCACCATGGGACGGCTCTGGCAGGCAACACGCATACCACTCCGCATTCTTGATGACATCATGGATCCTCTGGAGAGTGCTGTAACTTTGACCACGCCCACTCCGATTCAAAGGGGGCTACCCCTCCTCCCAGAAACATAGCACCTGTGGTAGGCTACCTGGAAGACGAGTTGAGGGAAGTCCCCCGCAAAGCGGCAAAGCCGTGTGGCAAACGCCCGGCTTTGCTCACTCATATGCCGCATGTTCAGCTTGCGAGCAGGGGGTTTTCAGCCAATGGAGGCGAAGGAATCCTTACAAAAAAAGCTGTGGAAAGGTCCCAGCACTTGGTTGCCTGGGAGTGGCTCAGAACTGGGGATCCCCAACAAAATGGGCGGTTTCAAGGTTTCTCTATGTGCCGCAAACAACATCATGCGAGTGTGGGTCAAAATTAAATCACTAGGGGACCACAGGTTTTAGTCCAATTTTTGACCCACAGCCAAGCGAGGATCTCTTCCGGACTCTTCAAAGCACCACATTGGTGCTACTGGTACCTTAATCGCGAACGGTGCATCCTTTACGCCGCATAAGGATTAGTGCCAAAATGGGAGGATTGCCCAGCTCCACTGGGCAGCTCCCCTCAGCAGCTGATGGGAGTAGAATTGATGCCACTCCCACAGCGAGGGAGGAATCCTCCCACCTCACCGGATGCCCTCCCGGCATCATGGGTGAGGAAGGAAAGTAGCGAAGATCAGCTTGATCAATTCGCTTTCGACTGAGGGGAAGACCCGGTTCTCAGTCGGAAATTGCGGGTCCGGATGAGTAAGTTCATCCGCCCATGTGTTAAAGTCGCGCTTCACATGCGACGGTCCTAACATGACCTGGTGGTCATGCAGTGTTAACACAATTTCCATGAGGATGGCCGCATTGGGCATCCTGCGAGTGGAATCGTTAAGCAGGGAGAAAACGTTTCCCTGGTTATCACTAGCAACCAGAATCCTAGTGTGAGAAGCCGAGCCGGCTGCACAAAGCAGAACAGCCCTCACCAAAAGGAGGAGGCCGAAGAGCTCCAAGGCCGCTATCGCCCGCTGCGGGTCCCCAGTAGTGAAGGCCCACGGCTCGCCCTCCGGTGTGATTCTGTGTTGGAACCACTTCACTCGGGACTTGTCGGGGTTGGGCACGTCCGAGCACCAACCACCAACCCATGCATGGTCCGCCTGTTTGCCAGCTCCCGCATCAGATGCCCCCGTCCATGGAAGTGTGGGAGCAAATGGAGATGCCAGTGGGAACCTCTGGTTGAAGAGCTTCCCCAGAAGGATGGCCAGAGCACGAACCAGCTTCGGTGGCCTGCCCGAAGTGGTGCAGGCCTTCTTCCAGCTCCAAAAGGGCTGGAGGAAAGGTTTCGTCAATGGACACGCCGAAGTAGCCCATTGAATCCGGCCCAGGGCTTGTTCCACCTCCTTGCTGGTAAAGATGTCCCCCTGGGCCAGCCGTTTGAGAGTGGCCAGGATTATGACGTGCTTGACTGGAGCCAGCAGCACACAGGGCGTGATTGGGTCCACCACGAATCCCAACCAGGTATTGACCGGGGAGAGCGCCGTCTTCTTCCAAGAAAGCGGGACTCCCAGCGCCAGAAGAGTGGCCAGGATGGCTGTGGCGTCCCAGTCCGCCCTGCTGCATCTGAGGACCCAGCAGTAGTCGTCCACAAAAACTAAGTGCCAGTCCACCTGAGGGAAGATGTAGTACAAGAGTCTGAGCACCAAGGATGCCTTTCTTCCCCAGTACAGTTGTGCCGAGGCCATGCCGTACGTGCCCACTCTATTGACCCACCACCGGTTCTGGATGCAGGCCACCTGGTATTTCCAGTCTTTCTGGAGCACTTTGATGCGCCTGTGGGCCTTGGTGACATCCGCCTTGAGGATGATGAAGGTTTCCCCCTGTGTCGGCGGCTGCCACGTCAGGGGTCCCAGGGCATTCCGTGCCTGGGAGGGTTGGGGGGAATGGGGCCCTCCGATCAGGGCCCTCGGCACCTGGAATTGGCCCCTTACTTGAGGGTGTTGACCGCGGAGAGACGTCCAGGCCGCCTGAGGTCTCCATCATCCGCCTGCCCCTATCAGGGCCCTCGGCACCTGGGGGCGGGCTGGTGCTGTGGGGGGCCCTCTCAGGGCCCTCGGCACCTGGGGACTGCCCCTGCACCGACTGGCGAACATCCCGAGGTTCCTCATCAGTGAGGATGGGGCTCGGAGTAGATGAGGATGGTCCGCCGCTGTCCTGAGCCAATGGATGGCATGGAGGCAGTCTCCAACCATCGGTGCGGTGGTCTTCTCCTCCGTGTGAGCCTGGATGTGTGCGTTTGCTCCCCCTTTTGAGCCATCATAGATCGTCCTGATCTTGTCCGACTCATCAATCCCTGCAAGGGGGCCCGGGCAAAGTTCCTCCGGTTTGCAGCGGCACCTCTCTGCCGCCTCGGAGCGAGTGAAGGGCCCGTCCACCATGTCCAAGGCTCGTTCCTCGTAAAAGGTTGATTCGATTTCCTTGGCAAAGAGTTCAGCCGTTGGGTAGTTACCATGAGCCACTGGCGGGGGGGGATCTTCCCCCAGCCAGGCTTCTCCCTTAAGCTCCTCCTTAGTGGGCCAAACTTTCGGGGAGGTCAAGGTAGGGTCCGAGACTCCCAAGGGGACCCCCTCTTTCAGTGTTAGGGGGAATTCCCAATCAGGGTCACCTGAAAGGGATGCCAAGTGCGACACTAAGTCCAGGAGGAAGGGTTGTCCTGGGCATCGTTCATGGAGGTGCCTCGGTCCTAGGATAGCCCGCAGCTCTTCGAGGTCGGCTTCCTGGAAGGGGTGTGTGGTGGCACCTGATGCCAGGGACATTCGGACCTTGTCAATCCAGGGACGGGTAAGGGTCATGATCAGGGCGCCCAAAGTAGCCAATGGGGAAATTCTCCGAAAAGGGGGGTTAAGCCTCCCTGGGGAAGGTTTTCCCCCCCCATCCCTCAGAGGGCGTGAGCGGAAGCCCAATTGGACAATCGCCGCCCGGTCAGTGAGGTGTGGGACCCTGAAGGCGGGCAGGCATTCGGGGCGGTCCAGGACCTGGTCCCCCTGTCCCTCCTTCCCCAGTTGTTCCGCATCTCCGGCCATTGGGGGCATGGGAGATGGGAAGTCTGGGTTCATTGTTCCACGAGGGCTTACGGTGTCTGCCTCAGGGTGGAACTGCCCGTGCAGGCGGGGCTTCGGGGCGTTCTTGCCTCCGGGCTTTGGGCCCTGGTGTGATGAGGAGGGACCGCCTCCTTGACTGGGCCCCCGATTTCCCCGGGGGGAATGGCCCTCCGGGGGGTCCGACCCCCGCCCCTTAGGTGGTCCCTTGGGGTTTCCCGGAAGTTGTGAGGGGATCCGGATGTGCCCCGGCGCTGCGAGTGACACAGCGATGGCTTTGGCCAGGCCTGCCATCATATCCCAAGGGTATCTGCTAAGAGTCGAGGACTCGTTGGTGCCCACATGTGACTGATGCGTGCACCGCATTTGATCCCAGTCCTGGATCGGGAGATCCGTGGCCAGCGTAGTGGCCTTCTTGACCAGCTGGCCCAGGCGGCACTGGTCGAAGGAGATTGCTGTCAAGGAGTTCTCCTCCATCCAAAGCTGCCCCTCCTCTGTGATCCAGAAGGATGAGCATTCCTTGGCTTTGGGCAGCGAGCTGCTCACCACTGGGTCCTCCGGGTGTTCCAGGAAGGACCTGGGCCCTGGCAGAGAAACCGCCGCTCGCGAGGCCCTTGCCAGGCTGGTGATGTACATCTGTCTCAGAATGAGGATGCTGTCATCATCAAGTTGAGTCTGGGCGGCCTGGTCCAGGTGTGGAAGGCCCCAGAGTGTCTCTGGAGTGCGCCCTCGCACCGGGGTGGGAGCCCCCGGTTTTGGTATGTGGCGCAGGATGGACCATGTCCTGCAGTTGGGTCCTCCTCCAATGAAGACCACTCGGCCATGCTTTGCTGCCGTGCAAAGAGCTCCATACAGCTCGGGTTGGAGCATATCGTGGTCCCCCTTGGGTCCAGACCGTAGGATGTCTACCGCCACCACCATTGGGTAGTTGGCGTGAAGACAGCTGTTCAAGGAAGTAGGGTCCTCCTTGCCTGCATAGAGCAGGACAATGATGGGCCCACTGGATGGAACTTTGGGCGATGTGCCCTGTGTCCATCTCAACCGCTGTACCAGACGCTCAGGGATGTTCTCCATCCACGGGAAGATATCCAATCCCGGTGACGGCTCCGTTGGACTTGTCAGGGGGGTAGCTGAAAGGCGTTGGCCCCCTTCATTCAGCCCCACCGAGCTCTTGTGGAAAACCACCGGGTCCTGCTTGATGATGTTGGGCGCCGGAAGTGGGATCGGCTGCCTCCTGGGAGTGTCCCTTGGCGTTGCGGTGTGCTGCCAGTCATCCGGCACTCGGGCCTTCTGGGTGCGGCCCCCCGTGTCAGGGCCCTCGGCACCTGCGGGGAACCGTCCCGTCCCCGCCCTATCAGGGCCCTCGGCACCTGTGGCTCGGGACTGAGGCGCCGCCGTTGTGCCGGTTGTGTGGCTGTTCTGATCACGGCGAGGGCGTTGTACACGCTGGTTCTGCCGCCCCCATCCCCGCCGAGGATGGCCGCCACCTGGCCTGTCCCCCCCCTGTGTCAGGGCCCTCGGCACCTGCAGGAGGGGGCTTCTGTGCCTGCTTGGGGCGTTTGCGCCCCTTCTCGCCCCCCCGGGCCTTATCAGGGCCCTCGGCACCTGAGGCCTCCCGGGGGGTAGGGGTCAGCGCCCCTAGTCAACCCGGGCAGTCCTGCGGGAGGTGGTCCCCCAGGCAGATGCGGCCCATTGCCAGGATGAGGTTGCACTTGTGGGTGCGGCCGCAGTTGCCCGGGCAGCGCCCGCGCATCCAGTTGTTACAGAACTGGTTCCCTTTCGGGTCGGTGGCTGCCTGCTTGCTACCGCCCCGGGACGCCTGATTGTTCAGGTGGGGGGGCTTACCCTTCCCTTTGTTCCCAGGCTTGCCCTTGGCTTCCCCTTGCCCTTGGACTTGTTCTTGCCCTTCTGAGGTGGTGCGTAGTCCATGGATGTC